AACAAACTACATACAACTAATATATATATATATATATATATATATATATTTATGCATGCAGTCAAAATGACAACTAATTTAAATGGAATGAAAAGGCAAACCTGATCAGATTCACATTCTCTCGTGCAGGTGCTCATTGCATCAACCCACGAGTTTGGGTTCATGTCGTTTGGACAGATCCCTGCGTGGGAATAAGCAACTCTTTGCAAAGTCATGCCTTTCACGCATTGCCTGTCCACAAATAGCAGCAAAAACTGTCCCGAGACGAACCAGATCCAGCGAGGAAACAGCATCCACCACATGTTGGAGGGCAGGAATGAGGACTTATTTTGAGGAGTTACTAACCTAATTTTATTGAAACAGCTGAGCCAGAATTCTGCGCCTCGAGCTTCCAAGCAGCAGGAGACAAAAAAAAAAGGTTTTGACTTCTTGAGCAACAAAGGCTATTCTCCTGACCACAAAACTCGCCTGACGCGCAATGACAGTTATGAATCACTCTGTAGTTCTAGAGAGAGGATTAAAAACATCTGGTCCAGAGCTGGGTTGGTACTGGGACACCTGCCTCTCTTTGAAAGTGCTCTAGGCTGCTGCTTTAACCCTTTATCTGGCACGCGCGTGGGAATTTTAGACACTTTAAAACGAAACATAGAATCCAAAAGCAAGAAATGGTTAATAAACGCCAATTTTATATCAAATATCAGTGTTTAAGTAATATAGCCTACACCAGTTTAACAAATTACAGATGAAATCTCCATCATACTTGAGCAACATATTGGATTTTAAGGACAAAACTGTGTGCGAGGAAAGAAAGTTAAATGTCAAGGCTCGTTTAGTTATTTGTGATCTTGCTGATGGACATTAAACGGCAGAATCAGCAAGTTCTCGTTTAATTATATGCAACATCCATGCACACGAGCTTCTCATCTATACATGTTAAATCAGATACTATGACTGTGCAAACCATCAACTTCACATCAAAGTTTGAAACACACGTAATCCACATGTGTTATAACACTCCAAGGTTTTCCCTTTGACATGTGGGTTGTTAAATTAAAAGTTTATCATGGAATTTAACTACGGAATATAACATGATCTATTAAGCATTAGACGATTGTTCTATCAGATATATGGCATAAATAAAATCTAATCCTGTCACACAAATGAAAAGTCAAAACCACAGTGTTCAAATTTCTGTAAGCACCAATGCCAATATTTAAGGAGTGTGCTAATAAACAGCCTAATACGTAACAAAGGGAAAAGTAGATATCCATCCCTACATTTTAACATACACTGAGAAAGAAAAGACATAAGGGTATAACAAGCCTAAAGATGCACAAATGACGCGCATGATTTTATTCTCTTTTAAAGCACTAAAGGCAAAACTCAGTTTGCACGTGCATGTGGACACTAATTTGATCTAATATTTAATATTTTTTAAAAATTTGATTTATTTTTTTTCATTTCTGTTTTTAAATTTAATATATTTTAATAATAGTGTATAAATGACTGTACAAGTGAATAAATGTAAATTGCACTATTTTACTAATCAAAATAAACAGAATATGGTTTAAACTGTGCTGAAGTGATTGTTTTGAACAAGTATTAACTTATATAAATATTACCACTTTAGCTGGAGTATTTGTATACTATCATTTTACTACTTTTACGATTTCCTACAAAATGTGTTACTCCCTGTTCAATAAAGATATTCATTTTCTGCAATATGGGAGTAAAGCACATTTTCCTTAAGGTGCGCCTTTAACCCCATCTTACCCTAATTTGGCAGAGCTGGTCAAAATCAGCCAATGCTGATGATATTGTACATTAAATTATGTCTAAATTAATAAATGTCATTTAAAATGAGGGTTTATCTCATGTAGCTTTTCCACAACACCATAGCCTGTGAGTAAAACACAAAATCTATTTATGCAAAAACACTAATGCTGATTAAAGAAGGCCTAGATGAAAGAATGTGAACAGAACAAAGGACATGTTTCATTCACGACGCACTTCAGCTTGTGATTCACACAAATGCTCCGGAAAAATATCAAAAAGTAAAACAATTACTAAACTAAATTAAAATAAATTTAAATATTAAAGATAAGTTAAATATTATAAAAACATTTTAACTTTTTTATTCTTTGGTTGTTTGTTTGTATCTTAAATGTATATCCTCAAAAAAGTTTTTTAATACTAAAATATTGCTAATATTACACAAAGTGAATAGGTTGCATGCAGCTACTATCTGTGTTCATGAGAAACTTCACCTTATTTTACCCCTGCGACCGTAGATTAACTTTAACAGTGCCTTGTTGTTAAGTTTAACTGTTTAACAGTTGTAGGAAATTGTTTATCTTCAGATATCTTTCCAAAGAGAGAGAGAGAGAGAGAGAGAGAGAGAGCACCGGAAGTGAGAGAGAGAAAAACCCTTTCAGGCTCTCAGGTGTCAAATGAGGGCAAACTCTTTTTTTTTCTCTTTTTAATAAACGTTAAGCTTTTGGAAAATGCATTTTACCTGACTTAAATATCTAAATATCTCAGACGGCAGACTGAAATTCAGGAAAGATCCACTACATTTTGGCCATCAACGGTTATCCATACGATATCTCACGCCTCGGGAGTTTGGATCCAAATATATCATTACCCGAACATCTAACAATCAAGTATTTTTTCTCAAGCATTTCCGAGGAAACGTGTTTGAGTGAAGGATCCAGGTTGAGGAGAGTATCTGGCCTCCAGCGGGAATAAAAGGCTTTAACTGCTGGCACATTGATAACACACTGCAACTCTGTGTGATTGATTGCTGAAGGAGCTGCAACACACTGCATTCTTTCACGTACCTGCTTCGGAGACGCATTACCTTACTTGCCCTCTGCGAAGGCAATGTGTGATGTATTTGTTTAAGGACATATTGTAATGGGAACAAACAATTAATAAACTCCTGTCAGTCTGAACATCTTGAGTGAGGACTGATGCAACCTCAGGGTGTGCCATTAAAATAACAGGATAGTTCGTTCTGAAAGACGTGAACAACTCAGTGGAGATATTCATGGTTTAAGAACATATCGACTGGGAGGCTTTCACACGGCAGACTGAGCTATACTCATTAGTTAAAGACAATCAATAAGAAATGGTAGACAGATTAAACTGATGGACAAATTAGGCAGATAAATGTTGTAAGTGTATATTTTATTGAAAATTAGAACATTGTTAGTCACTTCCGCTCAGCAAGGCTGCATTTACTTGATCAAAAATACAGTAAAAATTGTGAAATATTATTACAATTTAAAATAACCCTTTTCTATGTGAATGCATTTTAAAATGTAATTTATTCCTGTGATGCAAAGCTGAATTTTCAGCATCATTATTCCAGTCTTCAAGGTTTAAATCTGTCAAATTGCCACAAATTTTAAACAGCATTGAAGTATAAAGCTTATTTTGTGGTAGAATAGATCAGTCCAAAATTTAAATTTGCTTAAAATTGGTACTCACCTTCAGAGTTTGTGTCTTCATCAGGTTTGTAGAAATGTAGCATTGCATCAGTGTCTCAGCAATGGATGCTCTGCAGTGAATGGGTGCCGTCAGAATGAGAGTCCAAACAGCTGATAAAAACATCACAATAATCCACAAGTAATCCACAGCACTCCAGTCCATCAGTTAACATCTGGAGAAGACAAAAGCTGAAACCTCAGGGTGTGCCATTAAAATAACAGGATAGTTCGTTCTGAAAGACGTGAACAACTCAGTGGAGATATTCATGGTTTAAGAACATATCGACTGGGAGGCTTTCACACGGCAGACTGAGCTATACTCATTAGTTAAAGACAATCAATAAGAAATGGTAGACAGATTAAACTGATGGACAAATTAGGCAGATAAATGTTGTAAGTGTATATTTTATTGAAAATTAGAACATTGTTAGTCACTTCCGCTCAGCAAGGCTGCATTTACTTGATCAAAAATACAGTAAAAATTGTGAAATATTATTACAATTTAAAATAACCCTTTTCTATGTGAATGCATTTTAAAATGTAATTTATTCCTGTGATGCAAAGCTGAATTTTCAGCATCATTATTCCAGTCTTCAAGGTTTAAATCTGTCAAATTGCCACAAATTTTAAACAGCATTGAAGTATAAAGCTTATTTTGTGGTAGAATAGATCAGTCCAAAATTTAAATTTGCTTAAAATTGGTACTCACCTTCAGAGTTTGTGTCTTCATCAGGTTTGTAGAAATGTAGCATTGCATCAGTGTCTCAGCAATGGATGCTCTGCAGTGAATGGGTGCCGTCAGAATGAGAGTCCAAACAGCTGATAAAAACATCACAATAATCCACAGCACTCCAGTCCAACTCCAGTCCATCAGTTAACATCTGGAGAAGACAAAAGCTGAAACAAATCCAGCATTAAGACGCTTTTAACTAAAAGTCCATATAATCCATAATAACTGTTCCTCCAGTGAAAAAGTGTTCTGGTCTGAATCAGGAGAGACATATGCACAGATTAAACACCCTTTAGAAGACAAAACCATCCAAAACTGGATGTTGATGTGAGAGGACATCAGGGGATGATGGACTTCTTCACTGGAGGAATCATTATTATGGATTATACACTCGTATTTTAGCCGAAAGCAATGGTTTGAAGGCAAACATGCCTTAATGATGTATTGGTTTCTTAAAAACATGCAGCCTTCACTTCTCAAGACATTAACTGCTGGACTGGAGTGCTGTGGATTGCTTGTGGATTATTGTGATGTTTTTATCAGCTGTTTGGACTCTCATTCTGACGGCACCCATTCACTGCAGAGCATCCAGAAACATTACTGGCTGAAACAGTGTCACTGTGTGGTTTACGCTTCTAAAGAAGTGTTCTTACCACAGCACAAACACATTCGGCATGTCTTGTTGTTCAGCATGTTGTATTCTCACCAACAGGCCCAACCCTTGCAAGAAGGCTTATTTCCCAGAAACACCTTCCACGCCAGGAATCATTCACAAACACCACGGGCCGTCAACGCCACAGACAACTAAATTAAACAGTATGAAGACGAACTGGCCTTCAATAACAAATCAGCGCTTTGTTTTGTATCGTAGGCGAATCTTGCTTTGTCACCGGTCCATCGAAACAAACCCGCCTCTTCTCGAATCTTTCCGCCCGCAGCATGAAGTGATCAGGCAGGTAAAGAGCAAGAGCCAAACCCATCCATATTTCATGTGCTCAGCCTGAGGGAGCGAAACCTGCCTTGCATTTACAGCGGATTCATCCTCCTGAGTCCAATGACATTAGAGGACGGCCAACACTCA